TGTGGGCAGGGAGGGGCACAGGGGGCCGGGGCTTACCGGGGGGGTGGGGGGTCCGCACCGCGCCCCCCCGGGGCTGCCAGAGGGGGCGGCCCGCGGCCGAGCCCCCTCCCCGCCGGCGAACAAAGCTGTGGCCGCGCACACGCGGGCGGCCGGGGACAATGGGGACGGGGCTTTGTTCCCCCCCCGTGTCCCCGTGTGTCCCCCCCACCCACCCAAACCCCACGGGGGGGGGAGGGGGAACGGGGGGTGACGCGAGCGCTGTTTCCCCCCCACCCAAAATAAACACGTGGGGCGGGCGCGGTGTCCCCGACATGGCGTGGTTTTGGGGGGGTGTCCCGGGGGTGGGGGGCACGCAGGTGAGGAGGGGGGGGGGTTATTTTTGGGGAGGGGGTCACTCACCGTGGGCGTGCTCGTCCTCGCTGGCCTCGTCCTCGGAGTGGGGGGGCCCCGCGCCGCCCCCCGCCTTGGCCCGGCTGCGGGACAGGATCCCCGAGGGCTTCTCCATCACCGACGGCATCGCCCCGGCGGGGGCGGCGCGGGGAACCCCCCCGAGCCCCCCGGGGGTCCCCGCGGGGGAGGGGCTCGGCCCCGGCGCCCCCCGCCAAACTTTAACCCGAGCGCGGGGGGTTTGGGGAGGGGGCGTGGGAATTTGGGGAGGGGGGAGGACGCGGGGCGGACGGGAGGGTCCCTCCCCCGAAAGGAGGAGCACCCCCGGGTGGGGAGGGGGCGAAGCAGAGCGGCTTTAGGGGAGGGGTCCCGGCCGGGGGTGCCGTGCCGGGGGTCCCGAGCCCGCCGAGCCCGCACAAAGCGCCGCCGGCCGCTGCCGCCGCCTCCCGGTGCCAAAGTAGTTCCAGCTCCCCCGGCCTCAGCACGGCCCCCCCGCCCCCCGTACCCCTCCGCGCCGCCTCGGGGGGCTCGGGGGGGCCCGGGGGGCGAGCGGGGAGCGGGTGTGGGGCTGGGAGCCTCGCGGGGGGGGCCGGGGGAACAAAGGGGCTGCGGGTCAGGGGCTGCTGCGGGCGGGGGCTGGACCTGCTGGGGAGCTGGGGGGGCAGAACGGTGCTGGGGGGTCAGGGGGGGTGTTATGGGGCTGGGGTCTGACCCTGTGTGGGGCTGGTCTGTCCTCTGTGGGGCTGGGGTCTGTCCCCGTGTGGGGCTGGTCTGTCCTGTGTGGGGCTGGGGGCCCATGGCGATTCCCACCCTCTGTCACACACTGTGGGGCTGCCCCACACCCCATCACCCCCTTCCACCTGGGGGTGCCCCACTGTGTCCTGTGGGGTGATCCCATTGCGGGAGGGTGTGGGGCTGGATCAGGGCTGAGGGGCAGGGCTGTGGGGTGGGCTGAGGCCTCTCAGTCAGGACCATGGGGCCAAGATATGGGGCAGGCCAAGGACCACAGGGCCAGGCTGTGGGGCTGGGTTATGGGGTGGACCAAGGGCTATGGGGCAGATCTATGTGACAAACTGGACTCCATCAGTCCATGCGGGGCTCTGTGGGGCCAGTTTAGAGCCATTCCGGAATCTCTGGGGCTGTATACGGATCTCTGTACTGGTTAAGGATCGTGCTGGGCTCTGTGGGATGGTACTGGGCTCTCTGGGACTGGTTTAGGGCTGTGCTGGGCTCTGTGGGGCCGTACCTGGATCTGTGGGGCCGGTTTAGGGCTGTGCTGGGCTCTGTGGGGCCGTACCTGGATCTGTGGGGCCGGTTTAGGGCTGTGCCGGGCTCTGTGGGGCCGTACCTGGATCTGTGGGGCCGGTTTAGGGCTATGCTGGGCTCTGTGGGGCCGTACCTGGATCTGTGGGGTGGTACCCGGCTCTGTGGGGCCGGTTTAGGACCGTGCCGCGCTCCCTGAGACCCCCGCTCCCACAATGGCGGCCCCGCTCCCCTCAGCGCACTGGGCGTGGCCTCCCCGCTCCCGCCCCCTCCGCTCTCAGCCAATCAGCGCCGAGCCGCCTTCGCGCCCGGCGCCGCCGCCACGCGCCCGTTCCCCGCCCTTCCCGCTCCCTTTCCGCGCACGCGCGCCGGCCCCGCCCGCGCCACCGCCCCCTCGCCCCGCCCCTCTTCCCTCCGCGCCTGCGCATTGGCCGAGGGCTCGCGCGCTTCGCGCTCCGCCCCCCCTTCCCGCCCCCCCCCGTATAAATAGCGCGCCCCCCGCGCGCGCCCCCTCAGACCCCCCGCGCCCCCCGCGCCGTGAGGAGCCGCCGCCGCCGCCATTATGGGGGTGAGCGGGGCCGCGCCGCGCCCGGGGGGAGCTCGGCCTGAGGGGAGAGAGGGCGGGGGTGGGGCCTGCGAGGCGCCGCTGAGCGGATTTGTGGCCGCCTGAACGGGTGGAGGGGTCGGCGCGAGGGGATACGGGAGCTCTGCGAGGGAATTTGGGGTCGTCTGAGAGGGTGGGGGGGCACCGCGAGGCCCTCCGGGGGTTTTGTGCGGGCATTTGGGGTCGTCTCAGAGGATGAGGAGGCTCTTTGGGGCGATACGAGGCTACCATGGGCTGATTTGGGATCATTCTTGGAGATTTGGGACTTTCCGTGAGGTTTTGGGGTTGTCTGAGGTCATTTGGGGCCTTTAGGAGGACGCTTGTGGCTCTGCGAGGGGTCTGGATGCTGCTATGAGGAAATTTTGGGGCTTATCTGAGGCTGTTGGGGCTTCTGTGAGGATTTTAGAGCCTGGCATGAGAATTTGAGGTTCCCACGGTGAAATGTGGGACCTTCTGAGTGGATTTGAGGCTCCCTGAGCGGGTTTGGGGCCGTTATAAACGATTTGGGGGTCTCGGGGCTGTGCAGAGAGGGTTGGTCAGGACTGGGTGGGATTTGGGGTGGATTTGGGGGTCTTTAAGATGAATTTGGGGCTGTGCTCCCCCAGACACCTCACACGATGTCCCATCCAACCCTGAACCCCAACTGCTGGAAAATTTCCATGTTCTCCCCTCAAAAATGAGCCTGAAGTGGAGATTCGTGCATCCACATCCCAGCCAGCAGCAGCTGGTGGCTGCTCCAGCCCCCCAAAACACCTGAAATCCCCCCAAACCCGCTGCCAGATTTATTTCTGGGGGACACTCGGCCTGTCCCCCTCCCCAACCCGCTGCTTTTCCTGTTGAATCTTTGCTTTTGCGTGCACCCAATTTTGGTGGAGCTGAAGCTGAGGAATCCCGGTCCCTCTGTGATCAGAGATTTGGAGGGATCGCAGCAGGATCCTCTGTTTTGGCTAAAATCCCCCACACTTTTACCACCAGACTCCTCAAATTTGGGGAAAGCCACTCCAAAGTTACAATTTTATGCGGCTGCTGCTTGGTGTCGCCTCCTCATCCCACCCAAAACCCCCAAGATTTTGGGTCAAAACCCCTTCAAACCCATCAGCGACGCTCCCACAGGGACACCAAAACCATAACATCGATTTTTAATACCCCAAAACCCATTTTCCCCAAAGATTTTAGCGCAGCTCCCCCGCAGCTCTGCTGTTTTGGGGCAGGATTTCGGGATTGCCGGCGGGCAGAGCTTTGCCGGGATGGGATTTGGTGCGAATTCCCGGGATTTTGGTGCGTTTTTTTCCCCCTTTCAGAGGAAGTCGAGCAAAGCCAAGGAGAAGAAGCAGCGGCGGCTGGAGGAGCGCGCGGCCATGGCCGCCGTCTGCGCCAAGGTCGAGGCCGCCAACAAAGTGAGTGTGGAGAGCGAAAACGGGGAGAAAAAGGCCGGAATCGGTGAAAATCCCGCGAGCGCCCCGCTGGCGCTCGGCCGCTCTTTGGTCTCTTCCAGCTCCAAGATCCCCTCGAGGCTTTCCCGGTGTTCAAAAAGTACGACAGGAATGGGTGAGTGGTGGTGCTCCTGGTGTTCCCGGAGTGTTCCCGGTGTCCCCAAGGGCATTCCTGGTGTCCCCAAGGGCATTCCCGGTGTCCCCAAGGTTATTCCCAGTGTTCCCGGAGTGTTCCCAGTGTCCCCAAGGGCATTCCCGGTGTTCCCAAGGTTATTCCCAGTGTCCCCAAGGCTGTTCCCGGTGTTCCCAGAGTGTTCCTGGTGTCCCCAAGGCCATTCTGGGTATCCCCGGAGTGTTCCTGGTGTCCCCAAGGTTATTCCCGGTGTTCCCAGAGTGTTCCCGGTGTCCCCAAGAGCATTCCCAGTGTTCCCAAGGCCATTTTTGGTGTTCCCAGAGTGTTCCCAGTGTCGCCAAGGTCATTCCCGGTGTCCCCAAGGCCATTCTGGGTATCCCCAGAGTGTTCCCAGTGTCCCCAAGGCTGTTCCCGGTGTCCCCAAGGTCATTCCCGGTGGTCCCAGAGTGTTCCCGGTGTCCCCAAGGGCATTCCCGGTGTTTCCAAGGCCATTTTCGGTGTCCCCAGAGTGTTCCCGGTGTCCCCACGGCCATTCCCAGTGTCCCCAAGGCTGTTCCCGGTGTTCCCGGAGTGTTCCTGGTGTCCCCAAGGTCATTCCTGGTGTTCCCAAGAGCATTCCCGGTGTCCCCAAGGCTGTTCCCGGTGTCCCCAAGGTCATTCCTGGTGTTCCCGGAGTGTTCCTGGTGTCCCCAAGGCCATTCCCATTGTCCCCAAGGTTATTCCCGGTGTCCCCAAGGCCATTCCCATTGTCCCCAAGGCCATTTTCGGTGTTCCCAGAGTGTTCCCGGTGTTCCCAAGGCCATTCCCGGTGTTCCTGGAGTGTTCCTGGTGTCCCCAAGGTCATTCCTGGTGTCCCCAAGGCTGTTCCTGGTGTTCCCAGAGTGTTCCCGGTGTCCCCAAGGTTATTCCCGGTGTCCCCAAGGCCATTCCCGGTGTCCCCAAGGCCACTCTGGGTGTCCCTGGAGTGTTCCCGGTGTCCCCAAGGTCATTCCTGGTGTTCCCAGAGTGTTCCCGGTGTTCCCGGAGTGTTCCCGGTGTTCCCAAGGCCATTCCCGGTGTTCCCAAGGCCATTTTTGGTGTTCCCAGAGTGTTCCCGGTGTTCCCGGAGTGTTCCCGGTGTTCCCAAGGCCATTCCCGGTGTTCCCAAGGCCATTTTCGGTGTTCCCAGAGTGTTCCTGGTGTACCCAAGGCCACTCTGGGTGTCCCTGGAGTGTTCCCAGTGTTCCCAAGGGCATTCCCGGTGTTCCCAGAGTGTTCCCGGTGTCCCCAAGGCCATTCCCAGTGTCCCCAAGGTTATTCCCGGTGTCCCCAAGCCCATTCCCATTGTCCCCAAGGTCATTCCCGGTGTCCCCGATGCCATTCCCGGTGTCCCCAAGGCCACTCTGGTTATCCCTGGAGTGTTCCCGGTGTCCCCAAGCCCATTCCCATTGTCCCCAAGGTCATTCCCGGTGTCCCCAAGGCCATTCCCGGTGTCACCGTGTCCCATCCCGCAGGCTGAACGTGTCCATCGAGTGTCGCCGCGTGTCCGGCCTGGAGCCCTCAACGCTGGACTGGGCCTTCGAGCTGACCAAGGCCAACATGCAGACACTGTGAGTGGCACCTGTCCCCTGGCCTTGTCACCTGGCACCTGTCCTTGTCACCTG